GTTAGCCAGGATGGTCTCAGTCTCATGACCTCGTGATCCACCCACCTCGGCCTCCCAAAGTGCTGGGATTACAGGCGTGAGCCACCACGCCCGGCCAGTATATACTCATATTTTATGCATTTATGACATATCTAATTTTTTCTTAATTTTTTCAATATTTCTAGGCTATGCAGTTCATATGTAGGTTTCTCCAAATTGTCACAAGTCTCAAAAAAGTCAATATATTTATGGAAGAAATATCCAGGCCAGGCATGGTGGCTCATTCCTTGTAATCTCAGCACTGTGGGAGGCCCAGGCAGGAGGATTGCCTGAAGATGGAAGTTCAAGACCAGCCTGGGCAACATAGCAAGACACCATCTCTGTAGAAAAAATGAAGTTAGCGAGGCATGGTGGCACGTGCCTGTAGTCCTAGTTACTCAGGAGGCTAAGGCAGGAGGATTGCTCGAGCCCAGGAGCTCGAGGCTGCAGTGAACTGGGATTGCACCACTGCACTCCAGCCTGGACGACAGCCAGACGCCATCCCAAAGAAGAAAAATTGCCAACATGTACATGGACCCTCGAAGTTCAAACTTGTGTTGCTCTCAAGGGTCAACCTTGTACATATACAAGGGAGACAAATGAAAAAGAATCAACGTTGATAATTGTTGAAGCTGTGATTGTGGAAGCTCATTAGGTAATGCACACACGTGTGTGTGTTTAAAATTTTTCATAATAAACATTTTTTATACAAAAAAAAAAAAAACTATTCCAAGGAGTTTAGGGGATGCGAGTCAGGGACAGACAGACAATCATTAAGAAGTATAATAGAGCAGAAGAGTGAAGGCCCAGCGGCTGCGCAGGGCCGAGGCCAGACTGACTGGATCAGCTAAATGAAGATAGGCCAGGTGCAGTGGCTCATGCCTGTAATTCCAGCACTTTGGGAGGCTGAGGCGGGCAGATCGCTTGAGCTCTGGAGTTCAAGACCAGCCTGGACAACATGGTGAAACCCCATCTCTACAAAAAAAAAAAAAAAAAAAAGCAAACAAAAAAATTAGCCAGGCGTGGTGGTGCGCATCTATAATCTCAGCTACTGGGAGGCTGAGGAGGGAGAATCACTTGCACCTGGGAGTCAAGGCTGCTGTGAGCCAAGATCACACCAGTGCACTCCAGCCTGGGAAACAGGAGTGAGACCTTGTTTCAAAAATAAATAAATACGTACATACCTTGCCAATGCCAGTGCAGAGAGAGAGTGAGGTTCTAACCATGGGAAGGAGTCCGGGGTGGGCTGTCAGCACTGGCGGTCGGTGACAAGCCTAACAAAGAGGTGCCTATGTTGACATCCTTGTCTTGCACTGTTTGTTTTGGTATCTTTTTATTATAGTCTAATAACCATTAGGTAGCTCATTATCCTAACCAAGCACACAGGAAGCCGAAAGAAAACACCACCACTTTTGGAAACTATTGGAAACTATGCTCGGAGGGAGTCCCAGCCTCCTTTCAAACTGTGCCCAAGAACAGAGCAAGATGCAAAGCCAGGGGAAGCAAGGGGGGAAGCAGGCTGGGAGGGAGGGGCCCCAGCCTCAGGGTGGGGGTGACGGAGAGAAGGCCCCCTTTCCCCACAAGACTCTATGCCCTGGGAGGGGGTGAAGCCAAATACAGAGAACATTCCAGAAGGAGACAGCCCACATGCACAGGGATGGGTGTTCCAAATGACATGCCACTGCCCAAAAGTGTTTACTAAGGAAACCAATTCATCTGGTTTGCTTGGAATGTTCACGGTTTTAGCACTGAAAGTCCCATATTTCAGGAAATCCATCAGTATCCAGTAAGCCTGGATGGCTGGTCACCCTACCTACCACTGTCTCGTGCAACACTGGACTGGCCAGGTGAGGGGGCACAGCGCTGAGCAGGAGCAGCTACAGGGTGGGGAGTTAGGGCACTCTGGATAAGAGGCTAAGAGCCATCCCCAGGCAGTGACCATCCCTGCTCCCATCCCCTTCAACACCACAGCTGCAGTAGTGGCCTCTTCAACCCGGGACACCGGAGTCAGCTGCCCAGGGACCATGATGGCACCTCACACCTCCTCATCTGTCCTGCTAGGAAGGGGGTCTGCAGACAGAACAGCTTCAACCCTGGACATGCTCTCCTCTGATGCTTGCTGCCCCTCCAATTTACATTTATACTTAAATATGTACTTATACACGTGTGTATTATATGCATATATATTATGTATACATTCTTTAAGCACTTGCTATGAGCATTTTCTCATTTAATCTTCATAAAAACTCTGTGATGTAGTAATGATCCCACTCAATGAATACATGAGGAAATTAAGGCCCAGAGAAGTAATTCATCCAAGGCCAAATACAGAAATAGCAATATACCTCACATAGCTACCTTATAGAGTTGTGTGGGGAATAAGTGAATTGCTGTATATATAAAGCGCTTAGAAGAGTGCCTGACATGGAGGGAGTAATAAATAAGGGTTTGACTTATGGATGGTATTACTCTGCCGCACTGCCATGCCCTGCAGAGGGTGGGGGACTAGCCTGAACTTTGTAAAAATAAATAAATAAATCATTTGATTATTTGCATTGCAAAATAATTCACTCTAGGGTTCCTCTGCAAGCCAGGTCACTTGGTGTTACAAACTGATTTGAGTATAAAGTCAGAGGCACCTAAGCAAAGCAACTCACATCCTCAAAAACCTTCAACGTCGAGTTCCCCTGGACACTCAAGGCAGGCCTCTCACTGCTCATTGCCCTAAGCAGAGATGCTCATCTTCGCAGAGGACAGAGGGCGTACTCAACCTGATCTCTCACAGCAGCTCAGGGAACAGGCTCATCCTCCTGGCTGTCTGCTTCTCTAGGCCTGAATCACATAGCAACCTCTTCAGAGCCTTCCAGGCTCAGAATCTCCTGCTCATTGCACAGGTGAGGAACTCAAGATGTCAAATATGGGAGAGTCTCATACCTGCCTTGACAGCAGCTTCCTTGGACAGCTCCTAGGAAAGCCCTCCCTGCAGACCACAGAGGCGCCCCTCAGTGTACTGTTCCCAGTAGCAAGGATGCCCACCCGCCAGTCATCCTGAGGAGCAACAGCTGCCCACATTCTCAGGTTAGTGTGGGCCAGGACAGGAGCCAGCGTGCCTTTCAGAATCATAGGCAATTTTGCTGACCTCAGTGTATGCATCAGCATCTTGAAAACTGGCTACTCAACATCTCACACCCAGCTTCCCCAAGCACAGACCGGTAAAGGTTTATAGAGGTGAAAACCTTTTCACCCTCCTTGCACTGATATTCATCATTCTCCTCTCATCACGGTGGCAGCAGGCATTGCATGAAAAGCAACAGGGCGGCTGGGCACGGTGGCTCAAGCCTGTAATCCCAGCACTTTGGGAGGCCGAGACGGGCGGATCACGAGGTCAGGAGATCGAGACCATCCTGGCTAACACGGTGAAACCCCGTCTCTACTAAAAAAAAAAAAAAAAATACAAAAAACCAGCCGGGCGAGGTGGCGGGCGCCTGTAGTCCCAGCTACTCGGGAGGCTGAGGCAGGAGAATGGCGTAAACCCGGGAGGCGGAGCTTGCAGTGAGCTGAGATCCGGCCACTGCACTCCAGCCTGGGTGACAGAGCGAGACTCCGTCTCAAAAAAAAAAAAAAAAAAAAAAAAAACAAGCTCTTTTGCCTCTGTTTGAGATGTCGGGCCCGGGATAGGGGTAAGTCCTGTTGTGGACTCCTGGCATTTTGTAACATAGGGTGCGCACCCATAGGCATTGGAAAGTTCCAAGGAGTGTCCCTGCCATCTTGCAACCAAGGGTGTTTTCTAAGTCTGCATGTGCCCCCTCCAACATCGAGAACACAGAGAGTTCCCAGATCGAATTACTAAGGCCTGCACTGAACAGAGCCAGTGTAGCGTGAGTCAGCCAGAGGGTCCGATCCAGTCTTTGGCAACCCATCCCCACCACCGTGGCACCACCACACACCTCCACCAACCCAGAAACTCCAGGTCCTCTGATTTCTGAGCCTGGGTCAGGAGAAGCTGCCCTGCCCCGGCATCAACGGAACGCACGCCTCCATGAAACTTGAAGACAGACTGCAGAGAAGCATCATGAATTTTTCACAAGATTCATCTCATCGTGGCTGAGCGCAGCTGAGAAAGCCACATTCCGAGGACCCGTGCCAACAGCTCACAAAGAGTTAACCCATTAGGCCATCGCCTGGTGAGCTCATCCATCCCTGCTGGAGCCTGCTCAGTTGCTGGGATTCACAGCACACCGACTTCTGGATGTGGTCAGGGTGGCTTTCTCTGGCTGGCATGGACTTGAGCAGAAACTCATTGCCGGCTTCCTCCTTGCACGAGCACCGAGTGATTCCCAGGTCCCCCATCCTCCCCTGGGACGTCGAGGACAGTAAGTAAGGAGGGAACGTTTCCCTCTGCCCTTCCTTCCACCTCGCTGGAGGAAAGAGCTGGTTTTAACTTTGTTTTGGAGCGTGTTGTCATTGAACTGGGGTTGGAAGGCAAGTAGGAACAACAAGCAGAGGAGAGGGGGCTATGCCCCGGGAGGGGGTGAAGCCAGCCTAGAGGCACTGCCTGCTGAGGGTCTTGGCAGACAGGGGTGGCTGGAGGAAGGGGGCCGCCCCTTGCTGGGTACTGGGAAGAAGGGGATTTGTGGGCAGAGGGCTGCTTCTGTCCTGCGTGTAGAGCATCCAGCCTTCACCGTTAGCAGCCATTATGGGAAGGGCTGGGCAGGGACTATCCTATCAAATCTAGGCGGGAGAAGGAGCAAAAAAAGCCAGACCATAAAATGCAAGGCCACCCCCAGACCCCAGAGGACATGGGCGGAATCTCCGACCCAGGCCATCCTCCTGGGCACCCCGTATCAGACCTCAGCAGCTGCCAATGCCTTCCTCCTACAGCTGTGGCAGGTGCCTGGGGCAGGTGCCAGAAAAACAACGTAGGGTGCGCTGGCTGCCTCGGGAGTTTTATCTCAGAAAGGGGGAACAAGGCAGGCACATGCAAACACAGACAAAGACGTGGCTCAGTCAGGCAACTGTGTGCCGTGGGGACCCTATATCCGGGTAAAGCCAGACGTGATCACACACATGATCGCCCAAGTTATTTTTCTACCCTGTCGCTGGCCAGGGTCTGGGCACCAGCTGGGTAGCCCGACGAGGGAGGTGAGTGGCACCCTCCAGGTTGACTGTGACCTTTGGGGAACTTCCCTTCCTAGAAGCGCTATGAGCAGCTGACAGATGGGTGGCCATGGCCATGGTGACAGCAGCAGCTTACTCAGAAACTCTCTAGCTTCTACTTTATCAGCCCAGACACTTGGCTCCCACTCACCTTCTCAGAAGGGTGGACAGTCACCAACAGAATGTCCTGGTGAGGGGAAGACAGCACCGCCAGAGAAGACAAGGGACTCTGAGGACGACCACTGGCAAGCTGGAGATGGGTGGGGCATTAATGGGGACTCTGTGAGGGAAACAGGAGGACCCTCCACTTCTCACCACTCTGGGCCTTCCACAGGAATAATACATGGTGTTACTCCCACCACTTCCATCCTGCCTTCCCCGCTTCTCCCCCAGACTCCCCTCACTGAGCCCAGCCTCCCAGCAGTGAGGTAATGTGTGCCTCTCTCCTCTGCTTTCAGCTCTTGCAACTCCCAGAATAGCCCAGGTGCTATCGGAGCTCTGTAGATGGAGGGACCTGAGGGGCAGAAACTCGGGAAGGGCCAGATAACTCCAGGTCCACGCACAGCAGCACAGCGGAACCTCTTACAATATTAAGGTCACCAGATGTATTGCCAGATACCCAATTCAATTTGTTTTTGATGATGAATAAATTTTTTTGCATGCATTGCTCCCATGCAATATTGAAACATTCTTATACGAAAAAGGTATCCATTGTTGATCTGAGGCTGAAATGTAACCAGACACCTTGTAGTTTTATTCTCTAAATCTGACAACCCTATTAATACCAACCGTATTTCAGCACGTTCAAAGGAGGACAGCACCAGGGAAAGGCTGGGGAGTGAGTTCGGAGGTGGAGATGTACAGGTACGGGGTGGTGGAATGCAAGTGAAGAAAACAAGTAGAAAAAAAAAGCAGGGCCCTTTCCTTGAGAAAGCATAAATAAAAGAGCAGGGCTGGTCGGGCACAGTAACTCACGCCGGTAATCCTAACAGTTTGGGAGGCTGAGGGAGGTGGATCACCTGAGGTCAGGAGTTCAAGGCCAGCCTGGCCAACGTGGCAAAACCCCGTCTCTACTAAAAATACAAAAATTAGCCAGGCGTGGTGGCAGCACCTGTAATCTCAGCTACTTGAGAGGCTGAGGCAGGAGAATCACTTGAACCTGGGAGGTGGAGGTTGCAGTGAGCTAAGATCATACCAGTTCACTCTAGCCTGGGCAAAAGAGCAAAACTCCATCATAAAATATAATATAATAAAATAAAATAAAAGCAGGATTTGGAGGCCGGCAGCTCTGAGCCTCTGTTCCTAGCTGCAAAATGGGAATGCTAATAGTATTACCCTCTTGGAGTGGAGGATTAAAAGAGACTCCCCAGGCAAAGAAATTGGCACACGCCAGGCATCTTATGCTGGATTTGTGGCATGGTGACAGTGGTGACTTTGAGGCCGCTGTGCCACAGGCCCCTTGCTGGCCTCTTGCTGCTTGCTGGCCCCAGCTCGGGGACCCTGGCATCCTTGGCAGCTCCACCCAACATTCCTGGGCCTATCTCCTCAGCCAAGGCTGTAGTTCCGTTCACTGTGTCCCACCTCGGGTGTCCTCCCCATTTGCTTTTCCCATAATTTTGAAAAGAAACATTAAAACTGCCCCAAAGAGGGGTGGGATAGACTTGAACACAGAGTCTGGAGCCAGGCAGGCTGCAAAACTCACATTCCAATCCAGATGCTCTCCTCACCTGTGAGTCATCTTGAGCAAGTCACTTATACCTCTCTGATCCTCAGTTTCCTCACCGGCAAAGTGGGGCAAGAATATAGCTTCCCCAGCCGGGCGCGGTGGCTCAAGCCTGTAATCCCAGCACTTTGGGAGGCCGAGACGGGCGGATCACGAGGTGAGGAGATGGAGACCATCCTGGCTAACATGGTGAAACCCCGTTTCTACTAAAAAATACAAAAAAACTAGCCAGGCGAGGTGGCGGGTGCCTGTAGTCCCAGCTACTCGGGAGGTTGAGGCAGGAGAATGTTGTGAACCCGGGAGGCGGAGCTTGCAGTGAGCCAAGATCCGGCCACTGCACTCCAGCCTGGACGACAGAGTGAGACTCTGTCTCAAAAAAAAAAAAAAAAAGAATATAGCTTCCCCAGAGGAGTGACTAGGTGGGAGGATGAAATGAGGCAATGCAGACAAAGCATTTAGCGCGGTTCCCGCCACACACTAAGCATTTGATAAATGGTCGTTATTATTATTGTAGAAAAAGCACCTGCCTTCCCCAGCCACACGGCTTCTTTGGCCTTGGAGAAGCAGCTGAGGTACATTGGAGATTTTTGTAGGAACTTCGGCCAGCAGAAGGAAGCCTGCCTTGGCGAGGTGAGCGGTCACTCAGGCCAAAGAAGGGAGGCAGGGAGGATTTGGTCAGTGTGTCCTGCCTTTGCCCCTTCACAGCTGCCTCCATGCCGCCTTGTGAGCTGCTTCCTTCCTAACACCTGGCTGTAAGATCAAAGGGAGTTTTTTACAACCACCGGGTGGGAAGGAACAGAACCAGTGACTTGGTAAAGCAGTACGAGTCAGGTTCTAACCTTCTGTAGTTAAAACAAAACAAAACAAAAAAAAAAGGCTGGGCACGGTGGCTCACTCCTGTAATCTCAATACTTTAGGAGGCCAAGGCGGGCGGATCATGAGGTTAGGAGATTGAGACCATCATGGCTAACACGGTGAAACCCCATCTCTACTAAAAATACAAATAATTAGCCAGGCATGGTGGCTGGCACCTGTAGTCCCAGCTACTTGGGAGGCTGAGGCAGGAGAACGGTGTGAACCTGGGAGGTGGAGGTTGCAGTGAGCTGAGATCGTGCCACTGCACTTCAGCCTAGACGACAAGAGCGAAACTCCGTCTCAAAAAAAAAAAAAAAAAAAAAAAAACAGAATCAGAACATCGCCAGCACCTCAAAAGTCCCCATTCCAGTCACTACCACCACCAAATGCAGCCACTATCCTAACCTCTCATAGCATAGACTGTTTTACATGTATTTGAATTTTATGGAAATGAGATCACATCGCATGCATTCTTTTTCTGTCTGGCTTCTCATTGCTATATAGTCCCAGACCAGCACTGTTTCTTGGTGCCAGCCTGCAGCCTTCTCAGCCTGGTTGTATACTATAATTAAGTCCCCACCCAGTTGAACACTTCCTGTTCCTGAGCTCCCTCACTCCCAGATGGCGGCTCCCAGGAGCAAGCCCTTCCCTGCCCAGCCCCAGCTATTTTCTCTGGCACCACTGAGAATCCCTGCATTTTAATTCCTTCATCACAACCTTTCCAACCTCAGGAAACAGCAATCATATCTCTCCATGTCTTCACTGAAAAGGACTAGAAATGACTACTGAGAAAAAGAAATTCTGCTTAAGATGATCAAACACCCTCATATGAGACCAGATTGCAATAACCAGCTGAAGGTCTCCTAACAGCTTTATGAACCCATCCCTGCCCCTCAGCACACAGAGAAAAAAAAAAAAAAATCACTTTTTAAATGGCTGCTTCGCTTATGCAAATATACCACAGGCTCCAAAGGGAAGTACACACTGGGTGTCTACGGTTACAAAAGCACCTTGTAATATTTTCAGAGTCGTAGGAAGCAGAGATCCAAACTGTAACATCACCAAGGCCAAATTCTGAAGGCCTTGGTTACAACTCCGCTGTCCCCCTGTTAAAGGGGAGGGATCTGTAACTGCTTGTTCTAGAGAATGGAATCATTATTCTTGGGGTCGGGGGTGACACTAGTTCAGAAAAGTTCAGGCCTGAGCAGTGAGGAATGGAATGAGCAGGTTGGAGAGATTCAGCTGAAACTGACACCGTCGGAAGGATTGAAGGAGAACGCATTCAGTAAAGGACCCCTCTCTGTGTAGAAGTGCCTTGGTCAAGCGGAAGGGGCAGGTTGCAGATAAATGTAACAAGTATCAGGACTTGGGAGCCACCAGCTCCAGACACCAACTCCTTTATCCCAAGCTGTCTTTAACTCCTGGCCAGTAACATGGTTTCCCAAAGTGCACCCCACCACAGATCTGAGTCTAATTCCAGCCTCCCTCGCAGGCATCCTATTTGAGTTGGGGAAGGTGGTTTCATTGTGACCAGGATGAATAGTCCACCTTCCCCGATACAATTTTCTGCTATGGAAAGAAATCTCTCGCATCCCACTCACAAACAGGAATATTTGTAAATGCTGATGTGAGTAGGCTGTGAGTAGCCAAACAGGAAACAGAAGAAGAAGACAGAGGAGGAAGCGCAGGATTCTTGGCCAGGAAAGAGGGTAGAAGCCAAGGTCCAGAGGCTTTGATCTGAAGAGGGAAAAAGAGCAGAAGCCTAGGAGAACTGCTTAAGGAAAGTCATCCCAAGCAGGCAGGGGACCCTCAGAGAACAGCCAGAGAGCTTGAGGACTCGGGGTACAGGAGGAGAGAGCCTGCGGACTCTGTCCCAGACAGCAGCAAGCGACTGAGCTTACTGCAGGGAAGGATCCAGGCTCCTGCTAGAAGATAAATAAGTGTGTAAGTGGTTTCTATGTAAGTGGAGAAGGTCCTGCGTTTGTCCTTAGCAACCAGTGGAAGGGAGAGGAGGGGAAACAAGGGAGAGAGAGTTGTTCATTTACTTACTCATTCAGTTAAAGATAAGCTAAATCTCTGGGGTACAGAGCACTGTACAGACACCTTGGAGACATCTGAAAGATGAATCAGGGCAGTACCTTTGTGACACCTCCAGGCAGGGAACCTGGGCTCTCTCAAACAGAACCTATCCTCAGGAAGTATCTAATATCAATCGTTTACATCTTATGACCTTGTTGTAAATACGTAGACCTTTGCCTTGAAGCCACATTTCTGATTATGAAATGTAAGGCTTTAATCGAGGCTGGGTGCGGTGGCTCACACCTATAATCCCAGCACTTTGGGAGGCTAAGGAGGGTGGATCACCTGAGGTCAGGAGTTCGAGACCAGCCTGACCAACATGGTGAAACCCTGTCTCTACTGAAAACACAAAAATCAGCTGGGTGTGGTGGCGAGTGCCTGTAATCTCAGCTACTCAGGAGGCTGAGGCAGGAGAATCGCTGGAACCCGGGAGGCGGAGGTTGCAGTGAGCCGAGATCGCACCTTTGCACTCCAGCCTGGGCGACAAGAGCAAAACTACACATAAAAAAAAGAAAAGAAAAGAAAAGAAATCCTTTAATCTGACATTAAAATAATTTGAGAAAGCATTGGTATGGTGAAGTATTTGGTGGGCAAGCAGTACTTCTCTACAGCCCAGCCCTGAAATTGCTCTACATGGATGACCATCCACCTTTCCTGAGTTGGGGTCAGAGATGAGGGAGTCCCAGTGGCTGAGAGCCATACAGATGGGCTCTCGATGAGACACTGGAGTGGGCAGTTGAGTGAGACTCCATACCTTTCCAGGCCTAAGAATAGGAAGCTGGAAATTGGCCTCAATGTAATTAACATGGAGGGTGGGGAAGGGTAGCATTTAGATCTTAGAAGGTTGCACTGTGGGGGCTGGGCACGGTGACTCATGCCTGTAATCCCAGCACTTTGGGAGGCCGAGGTGGGCGGATCACCTGAGGTCGGGAATTTGAGACCAGCCTGACCAACATGGAGAAACCCTGCCTCTACTAAAAATACAAAATTAGCTGGGTATGGTGGTGTATGCCTGTAATCCCCACTACTCAGGAGGCTGAGACAGGAGGATTGCTTGAACCTGGGAGGCAGAGGTTGTGGTGAGCTGAGATCACTCCATTGCACTCCAGCCTGGGCAACAAGAGTGAAACTCCATCTCAAAAACAGGAAAAAAGGTTGCACTGTGAACCTGAGACCTCACTGTCATCTGCTGACAGAGCACATGAAAGCCCAGGCTGCACGAAACGGTGTTCTCCAACCTGTGCAAAGCCCGGTAGGAGTAACGGGTTCACATCTGAGCTTGGGCAGTTCCTTATCGTGTGATCTTCAAGACGTTGCTTCACCTCTCTGAAGCTTCATTATCTCATCTGTAAAACAGAACTAATGCCTAATTCACAGGTTTATTGTGAGTTTCAGTTTAATAAAGGAAGTGTTTGATGCAGTGTCTGGCACAGGACACGCATGCAGAATTTATCTATAAAGCATCACTCTTCTAATAGACAAACGGTATCATTTATGGAGTACTTGCCATATGCTAGGCATTATTTCAGTGCATTACACCACTTAACTCACATGACCTTTTTGAAAATTCTATGAAAGAAGTAACGTTATCCTCATCTTATAGGTAAGAAAACTGAGACAAAGAGAGGTTGAGTAGTTCCATCAAGATCAGACAGCTAGAAAGTGGTTGGGTCTGAAAATAAAATGCCATTCAATAAACTATAGCTGACCGGGCGCAGTGGCTCATGCCTGTAATCCCAGCACTTTGAGAGACCGAGGCGGGCGGATAACTTGAGGTCAGGAGTTCAAGACCAGCCTGGTCAACATGGTGAAAACCTGTCTCTACTAAAAATACAGAAATCAGCCAGGCTTCATGGTGGGAGCCTGTAATCCCAGCTACTCAGGAGGCTGAGGCAGAAGAATCACTTGAACCTGGGAGGTGGAGGTTGCAGTGAGCTGAGGTTACACCACTGCACTCCAGCCTGGGTGACAGAGGGAGACTCTCTCTCAAAAAGAAAGAAAGAAAAAAACTATAGCTTTTGTTTGTTTCTAAAATGGCATCACTTGTTTTAAATATTAAAAGCTATTGAATAAATATTTAAATAGTGATCCTTGTTTTAAATAGTAAAAGCTATTGAATAAAATGTTGTAATAGGTATCTATCACAAAAAAAAAAAAAAAACAAACCAGCGTGGGTGCTTACTTATGTAAATGAAATTCAACTCACTTTCTTTTTTGGCTTCAGCTCAAAGACCTTGTTCACCCTCCACTGAGAGTGGGGCTAGAGATGGATGCTGAGTACAGGAAGGGTGTGTGAGGATTCCTTTGGCTCCACTCTTGTTGCCAACTTTTGCCGGTCCTAGGTGCCCAGTCCTGAGCAATCATGACGATGGAGACTCTCCCCAAGGTTCTAGAGGTCGATGAGAAGTCTCCGGAAGCCAAGGACCTGCTGCCCAGCCAGACCGCCAGCTCCCTGTGCATCAGCTCCAGGAGCGAGTCTGTCTGGACCACCACCCCCAGGAGTAACTGGGAAATCTACCGCAAGCCCATCGTCATCATGTCGGTGGGCGGTGCCATCCTGCTTTTTGGCGTGGTCATCACCTGCTTGGCCTACACCTTGAAGCTGAGTAAGAATAATCTCTCCATCCTCAAAATGGTAGGGCCCGGCTTCCTGTCCCTGGGACTCATGATGCTGGTGTGCGGGCTGGTGTGGGTGCCCATCATCAAAAAGAAACAGAAGCACAGACAGAAGTCGAATTTCTTACGCAGCCTCAAGTCCTTCTTCCTGACTCGCTGATGGTGGTTTCCGCATCTCCCTGCCACCTTGACTGGGAGAAGATCTGACGACCATATCCGACATCCCCTTCTCCTCTGTGGGGTGCCATAAAACTGATCCAGGAAAATGCTCTTCCTGACCCAGTGGGGAAGACAGAGCTCAGGGCTCCATCCTCCATGCAGCCGGGAATGTTGCCAGATATATCCACTTTATCTCTGTTCTGACTGATGCTTCCTTGGATCTTGGCTGTGGCCTTCCCTTTCGTCACTCTAACCCCCTGCCTCTGCGTCCAGACATCATTCATCCAACGCTCTCTACCAAGTGCAATGCATGCTGGGAAATTCTTCGGGGGTGGGCTATGCCCCAGGGAGAACTTCTTGTTTACATATCTGAGTGCCAGAGCTGGATTCTTCATTTGCATCCTTCTGGAACCAAAACTGACCCATGGAGGTCTTTTACAGAGGAGGGAGGGACGGCTGAGTTCTGACCCATTGGGTTTGACAGCCCCAGCTCCCTCAGCAGACTTTCAAGATCACAAGTATCAAACATTCCAAAGACTGAACAATGAAGGGAGGCCTGGGAAAAACACTCTCCAAGATGACACGTGCCCCTGGACATGGCAACATGACTCTAGGGGTTTGTCAGCTGAAGAAGTTTAACTCCTAATTATATAATATTTACATCAGAGGGGTAGGCTAGGGGATGTCACGGTTTCTGCTTGACCTTCTAACTCCTCATTGACCACTTTCTTTGAACTTGGTCGTTAGCCGAGGAAGAATGCATGTTGCCCTAATTTCTTTCCTACCCCTGCCTCTACCTCTGCGTCTAGAACAGCAAAATGGAAAGATACGGAGGGATCCTGTAAGATTGTTTTCCCCTTCACGTCTATCAAGATCAAAATGGAGAGGATCAAGTTCCATATCCGAATGATCTGTAGGTTTCTAGAGATGGAATTCACGCTAGAAAATCCCAACTTCTGTTATCCCTGCCCCCGCCCAACAAAAAAGTCAATACTTATTCAGTGTCCCGCTCTGGGATAAGCCCTGGCTGGGAGCAAGACACGATCCCTGCTGTCTTCTTGCTTCCCAAGGTGAGAGAGGCAGCCAAGCCAACCAGCAAAATGCAGGTGGTTGTGGGAACACAGGAGGCGTCTACCCTAAACTTGAGAGAGGACGGAGAAATTCCTGGAGGCCATGTCCTCCAACCCAAAAACGAAAGGAAGGATAAGAGTTGCCAAAGAGAGGAAAGAACAGCATTGGAAGCAGCAGGCGCTGCCATGTGTGTGCAGGAGCAGCTTGGGGAAGGAGAAGCACGATGGAATTAGGAAACTGCACGGCCACTTGTCTGACTCCCAGATGTTTTTACTTCATCCCTCTCTTGCCCGACTTCCCACCTCTTCCCCAAGTGCCTAGTGTAGCTTCTCCTGGAGGCACATTGAGGGCCTCCTGGGGTCTATGGTAGAGACGGGAAGTGGGTTTCCAGAGGGCCTGCCAAGCAGAGAGTCCCTGAGAGGTAAGTGCTTCTGTAACTCCCTGTGGCAATCAAGAGGCCCATAGGTGAAGGAACAGAAGTGGTACCTGTGAGGGGGCCAGTCACACTGCCCTAGGCCAAGCCAAAGACTCCTGGAGAGCATTTGGTAATGAGGTGTGAGAGGAGAGCATCCTGCACCAGAATCACCCTTGTCTTGAGGTAATTCTCTTCACTCCTCAGCCTTGTGGCCTCCCCAGTCACCATGGCCCTCCAGATATCCCCATCCTCCATGGCAGTTCCATATGCAGAGCCAGAATCCATCCTTATTCCCTCTGCACTGTGGGAAAATCCATGGATGCAAGCACTTTTGTCATAGGGACCACCCCTTACCTGACCCACCCACGGAGTCAGAGTTTGGGGAACTCATGACCGTTGAGGCTCACCCAGGATGGCCATAGCCTTCATGCAGACCCATGCCAGTGTGGCCAGGTCTCTAGCTCACCTCTAGCCCTGCACACAGGCAGTCAGGACCAATCTTGGGAGCATTGCAAGTGCTATGTCATTAATCATAGTTTTAGTGCCTCAGTGACAAACCTTGCAGATCATTTTTCTTCTTCTGACATGAATGCAGATTTGAGATTGGCCCTATAATATCACCCTTGCATTTCTCGATGCGTTCTTAAATGGGAGCAAATGGGATGGGCCCCAACTCACTCACTGGAAACCCATACTCCGGGTGCCTCATTTCCTCTGCCCAGGAGCTTGTAGCCTGGGCACAGCTATATGAGGAGGGCCCATTTGGATGCTGCTATCACGGATGTCTTAGTGGAAGGAAGTTTGAGGACAACCACAACTCTAGAAGTCCAGGTTCTGGATTCACTTTGCAGACTCTAGCAGTACCTGCCTCCATTCCCTGCCCACTCAAGCTAGTTTCTCAGCAGAGAAAACATGAGGAAATATCCCCAAACATTGTCATCCCCACTGGGATCCTCCACATGAGTGTGGGCTGGAAATGTTCCAGGGTCACACTGAGGCAGGACATTGAGGTATTTGCCAATGCCTGTTGCCCCATGGAAGGCTGAAGTATGGATGCACCTGATCTGGGAATGCAGCCTAGGTCAGACTCCACATTTCTGCAACAAAGCATCACCTGCAATGACTCTTTTCATGTCAGTGGGTCAAAGGACAGAACCAGCTTCCATGTTTTCAGCTCACTAGATTGTATCATGCTCCCCATGGCTATTATGTTTGGGAGAGTTTGATCTAACCTGAAGCCTAAAGGAATCAATGTAATGTTGAATTGTATTCAATGTAACAGTGTCTGCTGTGTTTTCATTCCTCTCTTCAGGAATTTCAAGACTATGTCCACCAATTAATTCCTCTAAAATGCACCCCACCCTCCATTGCCACACATCCTTCTCCCCAGATTGCTACCTGGGAGAAAATGGACAGGATGGGTTTTGTGCATGGTTCCTCAGGCATCTTGTAGGAACTGATGACCCTACTTTGAGATGCTGACAGGGCAGAGACCAGCAGCTTCCAACTCTTTCCATCCCCAAAAGTCAAGTACTGAGACCAAAGAAAGAGATACCGAGAAAGAACTGTCCAGAATGAATCAGTGTTCCAGGGCAAGGCAGGCAGCTGCTCCAAGGTCAGCCTATCAATGTCCCCAGTAACTGACAAGTGCAGGCACAAGGAGCAGGTGCAGTTCAGCTCCCCGGTCTCCTTTCTTCTAAGCCCCTTCTCCCCATCTTCTGGGCCGACCTCCTCTGCCCCTTCAGCTTTTTAATCCTGACTCTCTTCCACTTGGCTTCCCACCAAATTCACTGTGGCCTTGACTTTCTGCTTGCGCTAGCTGGCTCAATCCATAAAGGAAAAAAGAAAGTAACTGGTGGTGTGTCTGGGTAGAACAAAGGATATTTTATTCCTCCTTCAATTCCTGCAACATTCCCAGAGTCATGACCTGCCTCCCAACCCTTCTTGACCCTCATACCCATCTCCTCACTGTCTCCTGCCCTCAGAGATCAGAGGACACCGGAAAACCAAAACCCAGAGCTCCAAACATGTCTGATATTAAACACGTGCAAGGAAACTGCCCAGCGGGTGTACCTGGGGATGCCGCTGGGTGGCACCAACCCTGTGCCATGGGGGGTTTGGAGGGTGAGGTTGGGGAGGAGAGGACAGAAGAAGGAAGGGTGATCAGAGGTGGTTGGCAAGGAGGCATTCTGGGGTGGTGTCTGAAGAGCAGAAGAATGAAATGATGATTGTTTATTGGGTGCTCACTAAGTCCCTGAAGAAAAATCTAAGCCCTTTATTCAGTGACTCATTCAATCCTTTCCAAAATCCTGTCCTGAAATACTGTTACCATCATCCTCACTTTACAGGTGAGATAAGTAAGGCAGAGGGACATCCAGCTAGGACAGTATGATTGAAACCCAGCTGGTGTAGCTGCAGAGGCCACGCCCACACCCTCCACCTCCACAGACTCTCTAAAGGCCTCTGAGGAGCAGCAGAAGGCACCAGCATCATCGAGATGGGGAAAGCGGAAAGGGAGCTGAGGTCACCAGACAGGCTGGGAGGGCACACCAGGCAAGGGCCCAGGACGGGGGTAAAATT